TCCTGCACTTGAAGAAACACCTGGGCGGTCAGCGTCTTCAAGACGATAACGAAGTCAAAACAGTTGTGATACAGTGGTTAACCAGTCAGGCGGCAGAATTTTATGAGGAGGGTATTGAAAAACTGGTGCCACGTTATGACAAGTGCCTCAATATTCACGGAAATTATGTAGAAAAGTAGATTAAGGTACAGGCTTTCATGTAAAAATAAAATTATTGCGATATCTTTGCACGTTTTTTTTAATTCCAAAACGGTACTTACTTAAAAAACATGCCTCGTATATAGAGGAGATATATGCTTTTTTCCATTGTTCAGGCCCTGGATGACCATTTAAACATTGACTCACTATGTTTGTTAACATTCTAAATAGTTTTTCGCTTCCAGATTTAATGATTTCCGCATATACTCCCTCTGGGCCACATGCTCTTCCATTCTTTAAGGACATTATAGCGGTTTTTATTTTGTTGGTATCTACGTAGATGTAAGAAAATTGCATTGTCGAATATTTTCAAATAGTATCAGAAAAAAATAAAGAGGAAAATGAAAAAAATATTCTAAATCTACATAAAATTTTCTAGAACTGGTGAAAATTTTATAATTTTACGATATTGCTAATCTCACTGCTATCTTTTTGAGAGTCTTAAAATTTTCTAAGAAATAGCCAAAAATGTACAATTACTCTTCGACTTTCTTCCATACAGCCTGTCAGGTCACCGATTTTAATGAAACTACTGTTATTTACTAATTAAAAAGCGTAGAACAGGAAAATGTAAACCATTTTGGCCTTACGAGGTAACTATGACTTGTAGGTAACATTTTACCTAAGAATGAAGAGTCGTTCGAAAACAAGGGTTTTAAAAATCCATTTTTTTACAAATTCAAAACACCTAAGCTATGAAATAATTATATATTCGAAATCTACATAAAATTTACTATAAATGTAGAAATTTTCATAATTTTGGGGCCATGTTTATTATATTTCTATTAGCCTTGAAAATTCGTAAACAAATTTTTCGATTTTTTTCCATACATATACCCATAAAATTTACGATTTTGACCAGGTTTTTGATAAAACTACTGTTATTTAGTAACTAAAATACATAGAATGAGTTCAATATGACTTGTAAGTAACATTTTAGTTTTAGTTACCATGAAAAATCTCGAAGTAAACTTAATATAAAGGACATTGAACATAATTACTACAAGCTCTTAAGGTTGTCGCCCACTAGACCGCGGCGCGACGCGGCGCGGCGCCATGTGGAAATTTCTTTTGTCTGCTTGCCATGTATTTAAATGGACCAACGCACATTAGAGCGCGCAGCGCAGAAGCGCGCCGCGGGATTTCCGTCAAGAAGTTGGAAGACTTCTCCACTTCTCTAGTAACATTTTAGTTTTAGTTACCATGAAAAATCTCGAAGTAAACTTAATATAAAGGACATTGAACATAATTACTACAAGCTCTTAATGAAATATATACGCAAGTTGTCCTAAATTCCCTTCATTAACCCGAAAATTCTGTAACTACCACTAGAATCGTTCGAAAACAAGGGTTTTAAAAATCCATTTTTTTACAAATCCAAAACACCTAAGCTATGAAATAATTATATATTCGAAATCTACATAAAATTTACTATAAATGTAGAAATTTTCATAATTTTGGGGCCATGTTTATTATATTTCTATTAGCCTTGAAAATTCGTAAACAAATTTTTTGATTTTTTTCCATACATATACCCATAAAATTTACGATTTTGACCAGGCCTTTGATAAAACTACTGTTATTTAGTAACTAAAAGACATAGAATGAGTTCAATATGACTTGTAAGTAACATTGTAAGTAACATTTTAGTTTTAGTTACCACGAAAAATCTCGAAGTAAACTTAATATAAAGGACATTGAACATAATTACTACAAGCTCTTAATGAAATATATACGCAAGTTGTCCTAAATTCCTTTCATTAACCCGAAAATTCTGTAACTACCACTAGAGTCGTTCGAAAACAAGGGTTTTAAAAATCCATTTTTTTACAAATCCAAAACACCTAAGCTATGAAATAATTATATATTCGAAATCTACATAAAATTTACTATAATTGTAGAAATTTTCATAATTTTGGGGCCATGTTTATTATATTTCTATTAGCCTTGAAAATTCGTAAACAAATTTTTCGATTTTTTTCCATACATATACCCATAAAATTTACGATTTTGACCAGGTCTTTGATAAAACTACTGTTATTTAGTAACTAAAAGACATAGAATGAGTTCAATATGACTTGTAAGTAACATTGTAAGTAACATTTTAGTTTTAGTTACCACGAAAAATCTCGAAGTAAACTTAATATAAAGGACATTGAACATAATTACTACAAGCTCTTAATGAAATATATACGCAAGTTGTCCTAAATTCCCTTCATTAACCCGAAAATTCTGTAACTACCACTAGAGTCGTTCGAAAACAAGGGTTTTAAAAATCCATTTTTTTACAAATCCAATACACCTAAGCTATGAAATCATTATATATTCGAAATCTACATAAAATTTACTATAAATGGAGAAATTTTCATAATTTTGGGGCCATGTTTATTATATTTCTATTAGCCTTGAAAATTCGTAAACAAATTTTTCGATTTTTTTCCATACATATACCCATAAAATTTACGATTTTGACCAGGTCTTTGATAAAACTACTGTTATTTAGTAACTAAAAGACATAGAATGAGTTCAATATGACTTGTAAGTAACATTTTAGTTTTAGTTACCATGAAAAATCTCGAAGTAAACTTAATATAAAGGACATTGAACATAATTACTACCAGCTTTTAATGAAATATATACGCAAGTTGTCCTAAACTCCCTTCATTAACCTGAAAATTCTGTAACTATCACTTACTAATTCAACAATCTTAATATTTAATCGTCATGAGAGAACTTGAGGAACACAAAAATATATCTTTTGTACGTTGCGTCGTAGGTTGACATCCTACACATAAATCAGTCTATGCTATATCGCCCTAAATGCTAATGATCTATTATTAAGTTAAATATAGGGTTAGGAAAGGGAAGGTATATTTGATTAAAGGGCAAAAATGAGACTAGTATTAGAAAAAAACAGTTTATTTATAGTTAAATACAACTCTGTTAAAATAACATAATTTAGAATAAATAAATAAATTAATACATATAGAAATAAATAATTTTGAAATAGGGGTATTTAAGTTTTAAATTTTATTTAACAGGGGTAGTAGTATACAGGGTGGTCCGAACTGTATTCCGGAAACTTCGGCAGCATATTCTGTAGATAAAAATAAATAAAAAAAAGTTCGTATGTCCTAAAATGTATGTCCTAAAATGCTTAGTTTCGGAGGTACAGGGTGTAAAAGTTTCATTTGGATGAAAATTGGTGTCTGGGAGTTTTTTAACATGAGAAATGACTACTATATGTAGGGGGCGCCACCTACATGTGTTTAAATCTTTGAATAAGAAGACTAAGGAAGGAGCATATCAAAAATCTTAGGTACACCGCGATGGGCCTCAAATATGGCCGACTTAAATTCCGGTTTAGCAGTGTCGTTCTAATTTTATTTAAAAAATGTAAAACTATGATGTAGGGTAGACGTGGGGTAGACTCAATAATTTGTTGTTTTATTTTACGTTGTGAATAAATGTTGGTAGTTATTAAAATTGTTATAAAAATATATAATTCTAATAAAAATAGATAAGTTATAATAAGTATTTATTAACACAAACATTCGATACGCTACTGAAGCAGGTAAGTCAAATTAACTTATCTAAATTTTTTGACATCTAATCTTTGACAAGTAATAAATAAAAGCTAAAATGCAAGAAAAATATATAATTTAGTTAATTTAAGTGAATTTCATAAATGATCGGTTTACTACACGTATGTATATTATATGTATAGTCACTTACTAGCGGAAAGTTGTTCCATTATTTCACTCAATTTTTGCCCAGATCTGCCGCACGCTACACAACCAACTATTTTAGAGTCTTTTTCGATAAATCGCGATAGTGTCACTGTTAATTTAAGTTCTGCCACAATTTCCATCTAGATTTACTACCTTTATACAACTATCAGTAGTAGAATAAATAATAAATAACATAAAATAAGCTCCATAAAGACTGACAAATCCACAAAATTTCAAATCAAATTCAAATGTGTCAAATGAATCGTCAAACAGAACTGTCAAGGATCCCCACCCTAGAGAGCTTTTATGGTGCCTTTTCCGCCCACCATGCATGAATACATGGATAGCATTATGCTCCTTCCTTAGTCTTCTTATTCAAAGGTTTAAATTGTTTTAAAGAGTAATAACTTTTTGTCCGTACCTGTATAAAAGTACTGAGTGAAAAATTATACATTTCCGTAACTTTTTACGTAAAAAATATGTCTTGGTAAAAATAGCTAAATTATTTGACTGAAATAACTAATTCGGGAAATTTTTATTTTTTTATAAACAGTTTCTGTTGAACTTTTGGCACAAAAACATTTCAAATTTATGATTTCAGTCTAATAACTATTTAGTCAACATGCTAATTTATGTCAATGATGACAGGTATTGATAATTTCGATTTCAAATATCTCGAGAACCATTACTCGTGACAATTTTTTCCAAGAGACCTTTTTAATGTGGAAAATGTCGTAAATGTATAATTTTTGACTCAGTAGTTTTGTACAGGTACGGACTAAAAGTTAATACTCTTCAAACCAGTTAAAAATATGTAGGTGGCGCCCTCTACAAGTAGGAGTCATATTGGTATCAAAATCAAATTTCTCATGTCAAAATACTCCCAGACACCAATTTTTATTCAAATATTGAAGTTACTTCAGAAATTATTTAGAAAAACTCGAAATAAAAATGAAATTTCTACACCCTGTATTTCCGAAACTAAGCATTTGTATTTATTTTGTATTTTGTATTTACACGAACTTTTTTACTTATTTTTCTCTGCAGAATATGCTGGCAAAGTTTCCGGAATACAATTCGGACCACCCTGTATAGTATGGTTTCTTCCAATGATGTTATTTACAGTATGTTTTTTTGTCATGGTAATTTAGAGATATTTTTTTATTATACATTTGTAATAATAAAAAAATTATGTGCATGGATTTTGTGTGTAGTATAACTTAAAGCCCAACCCAGTAACGTTACCATTTGTTCTCACGTTGATTACTATTGGACCAGCACTGGTATCTACGAGAAAAATCATTTTTTAAACATATTTTTGAACAAATAATAATAAAATATTTTAATGTCAATAGGTCTTGAAACGACAGAACAAAAGTCACAATCCGACGCTGATAATCCCACAAAACATCCCCCTTTAGAACTTTTTCTTTAATGGCCATAAGCGGGAGTAAAAGCCCAACCGCCCGAACAAACACTAGAGGCGCCACCGGTTATCAAATGGTGTAAAAATTGCGAAAATTTAATCACCTAATTTTGACACAAGGGGTCGCGCTTAACTTTTTCAATTTTAATTCAATATTCATTGTTTTCAAACTATATTATTAGACTTTGTTGTATTTTGTGAATGTATAAATGTTTTCTTAGTATAAAGTTGCATTATAGTAATTCAAATTATATTACATACATATTTAAGATTCAAATATTATGACATATGTCAGTTGTGAAAAAAATGTCATCTTGATAACAAAAAGCTAGTTATTGTCAAAAGTAGTTATAATCATGTTAAAATATTAAAATTTACAAGTTATAATTAGATATTTTATATTATTTCAACAACAAACACATAATAGTACAGCGTAATGTTGATATGCACGTCCAAGACAAAATGTGCCGTTATATTTTTCAGTTTTCGTTGTCAGCCGCGGAAGTTTCAGATTTTAGTGTTGTCGGATATTTTTATTTGTGAAATAGAAATATTGCGTTTGGATTACAAAGCTAAAAGTGGAAGTTTTATTGCAATGTAAGTAAGCGTTTGTCCATTTTATATTTAACTTTTTTTCATACCTACGACAAATATACATATATTGAAATTTTATAATTCGTTTTATTTAAAAAATGTTAGAAAACAAGCTTGTAATCCTGTAATTGACATAATTGTTATGTAGTATATTCCATTTAAATGTAATATAATAATTGAAATTTTTTGCATGAGTGCGAACAAACACGAGAGGCGCTTTATTATTTACTTTCATTTCTTAACATGACAGACGAAGTTCTAAAGGGGGATGTTTTGTGGATAATCCCAATCGCGAGCTGCAAGTGCACGGATTATATGTGCACACAAGCTTACTTTGTTCAGGACCTCAAAATTAGTGGTTTCAATTAGAGTAGAATTTTGTTCCTCTAATTTCAACGTACGAATTCAGAACGTCAAAATTAGTGGTGGTAATGTGGTAATGTTCAATTAGTGGCAATAGTTAACAAACTTTTAACTTTTACCACTAATTATACTTCAAAATTTGCGAGTAATGTTATTTTGGCCTTTGACTATCATCGTTCAAGAGAAATTATGGTTAGAAATCAAAAGCTTATTGTTTTATAAGCTAGTTATTAGGCTTTTTCTATGGATACAACTGACTACCATAAGCTGTTGCTAGGATATTCTATTAATTTGCTTACACCTACCTACAACTGGAGCATTCATGCTGAAGTTAGCAGATGTGGAACCATCATTAAACCTATCTCCACATAATCTTGTTCCATCAATAATGATATAATCATCCGGACAATTGAGAATGTCCACTCCAGCTTGACCCTGGGGTACTGTTAACTGACCACCTAAAAACATATAAGGCTCTAAAACTTATTATCTTTATAAGAAATTACTTCATTTCAAAAATATACAGTTCTTGAAACCGACTTCAGACTGTGTCAAGTGGCTTCCAACGCTGGAGGCGTGATTGTCGCAAAGCATAGTGTATAAATATTTTTAAATTTTTTTTTATATTAAATATATTAATAAGAAACTTCTCACTTACTAGGAAGTTCGTTAACAAGCTGAAATGGGTATGTTTGGCCACCCTGTACATTTCTATATGTTATGGAACAGTATCCAGCCTCTCTTCGAATACAAATGGCGTAGTTTAAGTTATTCTGTAAAAATAAATCCCATCAAAAACATAGAATCTAAAAAATGGCAAAGCTCGCAACACAATTCTTCCACTATAAAAAGTTGTGATGAGATCTCATGTAAAACCGAGTCAGTTTATTTTATTTAGTCTCTCCTTAAGCATCTATCCAACAATTTTGTTGTAAATTGTTAGTATCAATATTAGTCATCTTTATTTCTGTAATAATTATAATCACTTGGCAATTGCAACATAATTATAAAAGAATAAATAAATAAATGCCTTTATTGTCAAACATTTTTACAATTTATAGACAAAGGTAAAGTAAACAAACAAAGTAACATACAAAGTAAACAAACAAACAAAAGAGAATACAAAACATAATACAAATTACATTGTCAGTCTTATTGTTTAAAATAAACATTCATAAATGTTTACAATGTCAAAGAATAAAAAAATAAAAATAAGATTCAAAAATATTTAGTAAGTTTATAGTAAATACCAATGAACTCTAAATAAATTCATTTCGATGTCATTAGTAAATATAGCAATAGCAAACATTAGACCAGTGTTTACAAGATCAAATTCGATTATCAAAATATAAGTCATTTACGGCATAGAAAGCCTGGTCTAGTAAATAAGATTTCAATGCTTTGTAAAATGAAGAAAATGATGTTATGAATTTGATTTCAAATGGCAGGTGATTGTGCATTTTTTTCGAGTTGATTAATATTGAACTTTTAAGTAACTCTGAGCGTGGGGTACGTAGATAAAGATCTTGCTCCGCGTTCCTGAGTGGATAAGTGTGAGATGGCCTTTCTTGAAAAGCTGATACATGAGAATATATTCTACCATCTCGATTGTTAAGTAAATCTAAACAGTGCCTTTAAAAATAGAGTTTTTTTAATTAGAATAGAATATCATATCGTGGGCTTTGACAAAAGCCAGTATCTTAGACGGTTTTACGGAGGTCAGGTGTCTTTGATTTTTCCCGGTCGTAATCGGTCGTATCTTTCGATAGCGTAGATTTCTTCTTGAAGAATGCTGGGGGAGGTGCCGATTGGCTCGGAGTATTTAGTTTTCGGCCCAAATAATCTTTTCTCTGTTAAACTACCCCTAATTTCAGTAATTATTTTACTATATATATTAATCGGTTTAAAAGGTTCTACGTCTTCCGATGCCATCTCTCCATGCCTGTCTGTCTCTCCATGCACCGTCTCCGAGAGATCTTTCCTCCATAAACGTGTCAATCCCTTCCTGCCAACTTCTTCTCGGTCTACCCGGTTTTCTTCTTCCTGCAGATTTCCAGTTTATAATTTGCTTTGGGATTCTTATTTCTGCCATTCTTTGGACATGCCCGTACCATCTGAGTTGACTGTTCTTTATGTCGTCCACTATCGTATGTTTAACTTCCATAATCTCTCTTATGCGTTCATTAGTTATTCGCTCGAGTCTTGATTTGCCTGCTGATCTTCTCCAATCCATCTCTGTAGCTTCCAGCATTCGTTTTGTTGTTTCCTTAATTGGCCAGACTTCACAGCTGTACGTGGTTATACTCTTTATGATGGTATTGTATATTAGAGTTTTGTTCTTGTTGTTTATGCTTCTGTCCCACAGTATCCCATTAAATACCGTGATAGCATTCCTTCCAAGTTGGTTTCGTTCTTTAATTGCTGTATCCAACAGTCCATCAGTTGTGATTTGCATACCCAAATATTTGTATTTTGTGCAGCACTTAATTTTCTTCCCTTCTTCTAGCATTAGATCTTATTGTTCTCCTCCGATACACATATATTCTGTTTTGTTAGTATTGATCTCGAATCCCCATTTCTGATATTCTTCTATAAGCTTACGTGTCATATAATTTATGTTATCGTAATTTTGTGCTATGATCACCTGATCGTCCGCGAAGCAAAGTGTGTAGAGCATGTTATCCCCTATGGTTACTCCCATATTTCTACATTTTTGCTTCCAACCTTTGAGAACTTGTTCGAGATATATCTTGAACAGTGTTGGTGAAATACAGCACCCTTGTTTCAGACCTTTGGTTCCATTAAATCCTGTTGTTAACTTTTTGCCGACTTTTATTCTAGTTTTTGTTTGTTTATATAATGATTTTAGTGCTTTTATTAGCTCTACATTTATATTGGTTTTTACCATAGCTTCCCAAAGTCTCCCAAGGGGAACGATGTAGTATGCCTTCTGCAGGTCCACGAACACAAGATGCAGCTCTTGGTTTAGATTGCTCTTTTTACTTATTACTTGAGTTACTGTAAATAAGTGGTCCACCGTCGATCTTCCGGCTCTAAATCCTGCTTGTTCTTCGGCATTATTTTACTATACTTACGAAATATCCCGGAGTGCTTCTGTTAAACATTGCCGCTTGATCATAATTAAAACTTTCGATTACTCCTGTCACTCCGGTGTAGTACTGTAAACAGTTGTTTTGGGATGTTGAACAGACATCAGTATACTGACAAATTCGCATTTTGAATCTTTTACGGGACCCTGTTGTGGACAGTACCATGATTTGAAGCGGACCATTCAATTGGGAAACATCAACATATACTAAAAAGAATAAAAATGAAGTGTATTGATCTATAAAACTATATATCTAGTTACCGTGTTGTCCGGTATTATATCCACACAATACCGGTATCTGATCATTTGAATTCTGTCCGGTTATTACCAATCTTTCAGTTACACATGTTCCATTGGTTGGACTGGCAAGCTATACAAACAAATTAGATGATTCTCCAGAAAGTACTGGTGGTTTTTCTATAATACTTACGTCCAAGTCAATAAAGTCAATCCTGATTTGTTTGACATCAGAATTGGTTTTGTACACGCTAAAAACACAAGACAACGAATCTGAACTTGTTTGTTTGCTGGATAGTACGTCATCAAGTTCCTTGTCGCCTCTTCCTTTCTTGTAGTAGTACCAATGTAGTCTAGATAGAATAATGCTTAGAAGGTAATTATGGGCTTTTTTTACAGCAAATAAGAAATAGTTATGTGAGTGTGGGAAGTACTATATTATAAAAAGGTTAAATCCATTACCTTGGATCCGGAGTTGCTCCAGTGGTTGTGACAGGAGCCAAAGTAGTGGTGGGGGTAATGACAGGTCCAGTTGATGGGTAGTAGTCTGGGTAATTTGGACTTTTGAAGTACGAGCAGTTTCGGCTGGAACTATCACCGCAACTGCCTCGAACTAAAATAGTAATAACAAACATAAGTTCTTCATTTTGGAGACTGCAATTGCTGTTTTGTAGCTCGTAAATTTGTCGATTTTAGTCAAGTCACCGTTTTTCATAAAAAAAAACTACTGTTATTTACTAGTTAGAAGGCGTAGGATACGAAAATATAGGCCATTTTGGCCTTACGTAGGTCACATATTAAGCCGAGAAAAGCCAATTCCCATCGGAATGGAAAATAGGCAAACTAGTACTACTGAAAAAGGGAAACCAATTATTGAATGAACCAGTATCTTTCAGACCACTCAGTCTCCTGGACGTGGAAGGAAAACTGTATGTCATCTATCTCATACGAATTAAGCTGGAAGAAGAAATTGGGGGATTCTCAGAAACGCAATATGGCTTTCGTGAAGGAAGGCAGACTGTAAATGCTATACTTAAAGTAATGCACATAGCGGAAGAAGCTGCTGCATATTACAAGTAAGATCGTGTCACAATCATGGTACAAAGAATACAAGGTATGATATTGCGCAGGTTGGTGGCTACGTCACAGGTGATAACAGGCGCTATTGGTCAGCACGCTCCGCGCGCCAGTTCAAATCGTCAAGGTATTGTCACAGATATTGTTATAAACCTGTTCTTTTGTTTATATACCGTTTTATACTGTTCTATTGTTTATCGCTAAGCAAGTTACTGTGGAGCAGTGCGTAAGGAGTCGGGCTAGGAAACGAGAGACCGGAGTTCGAATCTCGGCCGGGACATAACTTTTTATTTATTTTTTTAAATACTGTTGTATTCTATAGTTTATTTTTGTAGTATTAAAAAGAACTATTTATTCTGTTATTTTTAATCTCCGTTATTAATATAAATTGATTGTTAGTACAATACCTCATTTAATATAAAATAATATTCTTCTTTTGAAATGTATCGGGCCCTAATTGTACCTAAAAGTAATATATTTTAGTGATATACCATATTGTAAACTATTTAATATTTCAGTCACTTAAAAGTTAATTTGCATTGAATAATTGCCTACCATTAAAGGAAATTTGAGCTATACAATCCTTGATGGGCATATTCTGGGTATGCAAATACTTCCTTTAAATTTTGGGTGTCGTTCAACCGATTTATTCTCAAAACCAGAAACATCTACATATAAAAAGAAGCACAGGTCACTAATTATAATAAACTTCACCCTTGGTATTACTTCCACTAATTATAATAAACTTCACCCAAAACTTCTATCACAATTACAATACGTTCATCTGCATTGGCATTTTCTACTTTTCGATGGGAAACAATAAACTTCCCAACATTTTTTAAATGATGTAACAATTCCTCTTGTGGTTACTTTTCCATAGATATCCTCAACTCTGTCCTCATGTGAATTCAGAGGCAATGAAAATGAAAATTATTTACCATAAACATCGCAAACTAAAAACCTAATAAACAATTTTATACCGAATATAGAAATAAATTTAGTATTCTTTACCTATCGTCCAAATCCATGTTAATAGATAATTATTATTTTTAAATATATTTTTGGAACTGCTGGTTTTAGTAATTATTAAATTAAACGAACTAAAAGTCTTAAAAATAAACAATTCTTAACCATAACCCCAAAAAGTGCAGATCTCCTGTCAACTTTCTTTATTTTTTATTTATACATTATTTTCCTAGTGACGTCACAGGTGGTATGCGCGAACTGAACGAAATTGGAGCCGCTATCGATCATACCTTGTATTCTTTGTACCATGTGTCACAATAGATGTCAAAAATGCCTTTAACAAAGCCTCCTGGCAACTTATATTGAATAACCTACGAAAGAGAAAAATTGATCGATGTCTAATCGATATTATAGCATCGTATCTCTCAGAGAGAAAAATTATAATCGAGGCCGAGGGGTTACAAAAAGCTGTGATGGTAAATAGCGGTGTACCACAGGGATCAGTCTTGGGGCCTATGCTCTGGAATGTACTTTATGATGATCTACTGAGGATAGAAATGCCAGATAAAACAACTCTAGTCGCTTTCGCAGACGACCTTGCCATTGTTGCATGTGCAAGCGATGAAGCTGTACGGATGAACACCGTCAACTTGGCAATCCAGCGAGTTGTAAATTGGATGGAGAATAATAGACTCACCGTAGCTTCACATAAAACAGAAGCAGTATTATTGACCAAAAAAAGAAAAATATCCCCGGTTCATTTTTATATACAAGGAGCTGTAATTCATCTAAGTAATTCTTTGAAATACTTAGGAGTGTGGCTGGACACCAAACTTAATTTTTCTGATCATATTAATAAAACGACCACCAAGGCTGAGAAAACTGTCACCGCTTTAGCCTTACTCTTGCCAAACGTGGGAGGAGCTAGAGCATCCAAAAGGAGAGTGCTTGCTAGTGTGGTACACTCGCAGCTGTTATATGCTGCCCCGGTATGGCATAAAGTCATTAAGAATCGAAAACTTACACAAAGACTACGCAGAATACAACGTATCATGGCTACTAGAGTATGCAGCACATACAAAACGGTATCTGGAGAGGCTATAGGGGTTTTATCTGAAATAGAACCTATTGAACAGCTCATACAGGAACGGTATGATAGATACCATAGGATGGGTAAGGATCTAGCGAGGACAAAACTTCTTCAACAGTGGCAGGACAAATGGAATACTGGAACATATGGCAGATGGACATACAAGTTAATACCCGACATTCAATTATGGTTGAACAGATCATACGGAGAAGTGGATTACTTCATGAGTCAAGCATTGTCTGGCCATGGGTGTTTTAAAAAATATTTGTATGATCGTTGTAGGGTTGATAGTGCATCATGCACCTACTGCGGTCAGGTCGACGATGTCCAGCATACATTGTTTGCGTGCGATCGATGGCAGTGCTTTAGGGAACAATTCCGTATGGAAGCCGGTAAGGACTTCGACTTACCCACATTTATCATATATGTACTTAGTTGAAGGGGAAGAACAATAGACGCTAATATATCGGATAGTCCGAAATATTATAAATTGTAAAGAGAGCGAAGAGAGACAAAGAGCATGATAAGATAAATCTAGACACCCTTTGCACTGAAGCAATGCGAGAGCGGATTCCAGTGTAAAGTGGAATAAGTCGAAGGTCACATTTTAGCTAACCATAAAAGAAAACAATTGTTGGAAAAATTCATATTTTTACAAAACTCAAACACTTAAGTTACTAATTATTAAATCAATATCTTATCTATCTATACTAATTTATAAAATCCTTAAGTGACTGACTCACTGATTAATCACGATCCTGCTCAAACCACTCAACGTAAGAAGGTCAGTTTTGGCATACAGGTTGATTCTAGGGTGCAGAGGTTCGATAAGAAGGGATTTTTCGAAATTACACTTCCAAGGGGGTGAAACCATCCCTCAAATATTACAATATATTTCATTTAAAAAACGGTCAAGTTTCCGAAAAAACGCTTAAACACGTATATTTTATTTTGTTTTTTTACATATTTTAAGATTTTTTAAAAATGTATAAAGGGTGTTTCGAAAAATCTGGTCATTGATTAATCACGATTCTGCTTAAAGCGCTTAACTTAAAAAGCTAATTTTTGGAAAACGGATTGACTTTAGGGTGTAGAGGTTCGATAAGAAGGGATTTTTCGAAACTCGAATTCTAAGGGGGTGAAACCACCCCTCAAATATTAGAATATTTTTTATTTAAAAACCGGTGAGTTTTTCGGAAAAACTCTTAAATTACAGTTGAGGATTGGAACCTTTGGTGTTACACAGCAAAATAAAAACACTAAATCACCACAATAGTAATAAAAACACTAAATCACCCACTGAGTGGGCTCTGACTCGGTTGGCTAGATTTTGCCACACCCACTCGGTGCCCACTGAGCGAGTATATAAACGCTCAACTTGTAGATTGTACTTTAGTTTATAATCATCTGCTGATGATGCTAATATGGTAAGCGAAACGCGCGTCCAGTGTAAAAGTAAAAGTGTTTTGGTGTATTGTGGTGATTTAGTGTTTTTATAAAACTCTTAATCACGTATATTTTATTTTGTTGTTTTACATATTTTAAATTTTTTTAAAAATTATACAGGGTGTTTCATAAAATATAACCATTGAGTAATCACGATTCTGCTTAAACTACTTGACGTTTAAAGCTGATTTTTGGCAAACGGATTGACTGTGGGGTGTAGAGGTTCGATAAGGAAGGGTTTCTCGAATCTCAAATTCCAAGAGGGTGAAAACGCCCCTCAAATATTACAATATTAATTTGTTATTTAAAAAACGGTTAGTCTTTTGCTTTGCTTTATCATCACTATTACAAATGATTAATTCGACGCGAACGAAGTCGCGGGTACACGCTAGTATAATATAAATAAAATACGGTAAAAGATACACTTACATACACAACATACACCATAACCACTAGCGCAATTTCCAAAAGCGGTACCGCCCATCTGGGTACATTCGCTCGATGTGTAGCACACTCCCTGCCATGTACCAGCCCAGTTTGTGGCGTTACACTCTGTATTGTTGAATTTTATCACAGTGAATATACTGAAAATCTTCTTAATTTTTCCGATAGTCTTGTTTTTCAAACTCCAGAGAGTATCTGCAGTTAAAAATTTTGATTCTTGATCGACTTTGGGTATTCTTTTATTCAAAGGTGAACTGAAATTAAGCATTATCAAAAACAAATTTATTGAAGTCGAATATCTTTAAGTTTTTTAATTTAAATTCAATGTTATGATTGATATTTTTTTATTAGAAGCATAATAACAACGAAAAGATATACAGGGTTGTTCATCACATACGACACGGAGTATTGTAGCTAAACGATTAGATTTTTACAAATTGTAAGTTTTGGGTTCGTTGGAGGACTATTAGAGCTACAATCTAAAAATATTTTTACAAGATACAGACTGTCCCAAATAAGTAAAAAATAATATAGTTGTATTTTTTTTAAAAGGAACACCCTGTATATTATTCTGTTTTTGGATTTTACAATTGAAATAAAGATAAATTTAATTAAGGTTTATCACACTTAAATCTTACCGTTTTTGAAATATTTTCAATTTTATGAAATTGCAGTAAAAATTTTAAGGCTTTATTTCTCCAAGGATATCAAAGTTTTTAATACTAAATATTTACTGAAGATTATTTATTGATCAGATATTGTGTTGCAATAATAAAAATTCTACTACCTTATACAGAGTGTCCAAAAATTTATATTAAATAATTATTAACTTTAAACGGCAATAACTTGTTTAATTTAAATGGAACACCCTATATATTTTACGTGAATCAGATGCACAATTTAACTGTCTACCAAATTGTATTATACCATTTTTTACCCATCTCTTCAAGTTTTCGTAAAAAATGCATTTTCTTATAATTTAGACCTAATTTATCACTATACCCATGGAATATTGACATTTCATATTTTTTTATAGCACCGTAATATGTACAAAATGTACTGGTGGTAAATATTGCAAGCCCATTGGCATACAAAAAAACTATTTAAATCTTTGTAAAAGAGTATACCAATTAAATATACCACCATTATTTCCTACCAAAAACACTAAAAATTAGTTAATTACATATTTTAAATTGTTTTAATTAATAAATTATTCTAAATAAATGTGGATTTGGCTCAGAAATCAATATAATAAGAAGTTATGAAAATGAATGTCCCTATTTTTATAAATAAGCATTCGTCAATAAATGAAATAAAATTTATAAGGTGTTACTTTTTACCACACTGTCTAATACACACACAAAATTCAGTTTTTTTAGTATTTGGAGCAATTATTACTACAACGTAAATAGTCAATTAATGTAGTTTGAATACTAAGATCATATTAATTGGTCTTCTAACAAAAAATATTTAAACAGTTTTTTTTAATTTTTTAATTAAATAAGCGAACTATATCGACAATATTAGTATCTGTACCCTTTGAAAATTTGTTACATCTTTAAAAATAAGCTAAAATGTCAATGGGTATAGTGATAAATGAGGTCTAAATTATAAGAAAATGCATTTTCTATGAAAACTTGAAGAGATGGGTAAAAAATGGAACAATACAATTTGAAAGACAATTACATTGTGCATCTGATTCACGTCAAATATATAGGGTGTTCCATTTAAATTAAACAAGTTATTGCCGTTTAAAGCTAGTAATTATTTAATATAAATTTTTGGACACTCTGTATAATGTAGTAAAATTTTTATTATTGCAACACAATATCTGATCAATAAATAATCTTCAGTAAATATTTAGTATTAAAAACTTTGATACCCTTGGAGAAATAAAGCCTTAATTTTTTTACTGCAATTTCATAAAATTGAAAATATTTCAAAAACGGTAAGGTTTAAGTGTGATAAATTTTAATCAAATTTACCTTTATTTCAATCGTAGAATCCAAAAAGAGAATAATATACAGGGTGTTCTATTTAAAAAAATACAACTATAATATTTTTTACTTATTTGGGACACTCTGTATCTTGTAAAAATATTTGTAGCTCTAATAGTCCTTCAACGATCCCAAAACTTACAATTTGTAAAAATCTAATCGTTTAGCTACAATACTCCGTGTCGTATGTGGTGAACAACCCTGTATAAGATAAGATGTAACAAATAAATCAAATACGTTCTTACTCTTAATGAATACGTTCCTGATATAAATACAAGATTATTAACTCTATTAACTATAGAAGACTGAAGATATATGGATAACCAAGAGTAGAACAGATCTATCTAGCTTTTTGACATAAATATTCTTAACTAAATTTAACACTAGATAAACTTACCTTATAATGTTATTATTAACTTCAACAGTTTTATTGCTTAAACGTTTCTCTAAACGGGTTTTGCCATAACTTTTCTTGTTACCGTATTTCTCCAGAAACAATTTGGTTATATATTTTCTTAGCAGGATGTTGATTTTCTTTCTAGTATCTTCAGGCGATTGATCTTTAAGTAGGTTCTGATTTTTCAGTTGAAGTTCTTCATATTTGTTTGGATCAAGTACCAAAACATTAGGAGACCTTGTAGTTGTTGAACTATAAATATTAGATATACCGGGTGAATTTCAAAAGTGGCTCACTCCTATAGCTTTTTAATTTTTTTAGTTAAAAAAACGAGATTTGGTATGTTAGTATATGACATAAATTAGGACTGATTGACGTATTCAATTGTTTTCGGTCACTTCCTGTTTCACCGGAAATGACTACAACTTATGATTTTTAAATGGCACCCTCGAGATTTTTTTTACCTTATTCGATAGAAAATGTCACTCTGAATAGAATGACATATCATATGTCAACTTTTGACATTTTCGCATATGGTTTATTTGAAATTATATCTTGCGGTTCGTAACGAAAATTTGACTTGAAATACCAAGTGTGTGGTATCAAATTATTCGTATAAAAATGCTTCTTCTGAATATGTTAATGCGCTACCCTTGTTCCATTTGAAAAAATTGAGATATGGTTAAAAATACGATTTGAGCATTTTCTAACTGGCCAGGACAAGGCACTACAAACATTTGACCATCAAATATATTTTTCCAAGGCTCCTTGATGAAGAATTAGTATTTTTAACATAGCCATGGCACTCTAGATTGAATTTTAAAATACAATTTTTTATTAAGCGAGAATGTCAAAAGTTGACATATGATGTGATATTCTATTCAGAATGTCATTTTTTATCGAATAAAGTAAAAAAATACCGAGGGTGCCATTTAAAAATCAAAAGTTGTAGTAATTTCCGGCGAAACAGGAAGTGACCAAAAACAATTGAATACACCAATCAATCCTAATTTGTGTCATATACTATCATACCAAATCTCCTTTTTTTATTTGAAAAAATAAAAAAGTTATAGGGATGAGCCACTTTTGAGACGCACCGGGTATAAATATGCTTCCAGTAGGATTGATATATCAAAGAACTTTTTACGACTCCAAATTGTTTTTGATTTGTACAGGGTGAGTCAACGATAGAGAAAAGTTCATTATTTAGTTTCTTTTGTAAACTGTTCCAGTGCTAATTTTTCAGACGTATTGTGGTCCTTTTCTAATCTCTAGGTAGCACGACTGCGTCCTAGTTGCAAAAACGTTACAACAATTACAAGAAACTCTGAACACATATACCTAGGCATAGAAGGCTTTGAGCCTTAAGCTGAACATCGGTAAAACTAAAATCATGTTCACTCCCCCGGAAAATCATAGCAACGCTATAAAAATCGGAGAACTATTGGAATATGTAGCGGAATTCAATTGCCTCGGCAGTTTGATTTCGGAAAAGGCCAATATCAACTCTGCAATTCAGTACAGAATTAGCAGCGACTCAAGAGCATTCTGGAAATTAAAAGACAGAGTTTTCTACAATTTATATATTTTTCATGAATATGTATGTATATTATATATTTTTCATGGGATATTTTTCACGAAAACTTAAACACTGAACCAAAAGTCGACATAAATATAATGAAAAAGTTCATTAATATAATGAATTAAATCATTAATTTTGAGTCGATGAACGATTTCATTGGCACAATGAAAAGTAATTGATTAACTCTATGAACTTTAAGTTCATTAAATCAATGAACAGTGTTCATTAATTTGAAGAACACATTCATTGGTACAATGAACAGATTTCATTAATATAATGTACCTAAATCCTTATATTAATGAACTGTATCATTAATACAATGAAATAATTTCATAACCTATTTAGTTAAACATTTAAAAGCCGACACTATTAGTAACTCTTGTTACACAGTATAATTGACGATGAAGATCGCTGTCATTGATATGAAATGTCATTGATAGTCATTTCCCAGCCAACTACCTGAATTAATTCTACTATAAATAGATTTCCATTTGAACAAGCCCTTAGCTACAAAGGGAACAAAATTACTAATAGTGCCGACTTACTTACGAGCACAGTAAATTTTTCCATTAGAGATTATTAATAAAAAACAAATGCAATAAACTAATAATAATTTATTAAACTCGATATAGCATATACAAATTAAAAATTAAAAAAATCGACGCGACGAAGAGAATAGTAATGTTATTATTAATTTTAGGGTAAATTATAATAAGAAAATTAATTTACCAGTCGATATCCTGAGGGATTTCTATAAAAAGACCATTTCTTCATTATATTAGCTGTATCCTTAGACTTGATAACGTCTAGACGAATTTGCAACAGGCTTTCCAAGTCGTATCAAGTGGGTCCGATGTTAAATTGTCGAATTTGAATGCTTGAAAGCAGGTCTCAACATCTTCTTCCGGTCCTAAAAGACGTATATCAAAATAATTAAAATGCCAAATATTAAAAGAACATTCGAATTTACCATAATCAGTTCCATATGCCTCGACTTGTTACTATGTTTTTTTTCTTTTTGTTTTTTATCTTCTGAAACATATTTGGAAACCGCTGTTTTAATGAATACCCACACCAGAGATCTCACACAGCGGAATTTGATTTGACAACACAACAAATTAACTACAATACGATAGGACTTTTATTTAAAATATTTACAATATTGAAGAGAACACTTACCGCTCTAATGAAACTAAAGCCTCACTGAATAACTCAACCACACAGACGTTATTAAAGTGCCAAAGTAACCGATCAACATGGCGGACATTTAAGCCCTAATATTTTATTCATGATATTAATAACCGCGTACATTAATATAATGTAGTGTGTTCCTTGTATTAATAACATTGTTTTATTGTTTATTAGTACATTAATATGATGAATATGTGTTCATTAAAGTTTCAGCATTAAAAAAAAAACGCATTCATTGGGACAATGAACGCGTTCTTTATATTAATGAAAATCTTACATTAATTTAATAATCAGATTTTCATTATATTGATGAAATTAGATTCATACTATTAATAAATCAGGCATCGATCTATGATGAACAAATCATGAATATAATGAAAAAAATCATTGTCCCAATGAAAGAACAGTTAATAATCAATGTTCATTAATATTATGAACAATGAACAATGGGGACGAATTGTAAACTCAGTTAACGATGACAACCAAAAAAAGGCAGCAAAGTAATGAGATTTTTGAATGTTCGGAGTGCGGAAGAAAGATAACATCATGTATCGGGCTCTTCAGTCACAGAAAAGCTCATGAAAGAAAACGCCTTGCGTAACCATCATCTTCTGATGCGTGTCAAATACTCGTCAGCTTGTAATGGCAGTACTAGTAGTAGTACGAGGATGGTCTGAAAAGTTCCCGACCTCAACGTGAAGATGGCAGCACTCGTAGATAAAAGCTAGTGAATTTTCATTGTTCATCTGTTGACAGTTATTCACCAAAGTTTCAGCCATTTTGGATGCGCAGTTGTTATGTAACAGTCGTTTGAGTGAGTTGATGTCAGTGTTTTTGTGAAAATGCACAAAATCGAGTATCGAGCTGTCATTAAATATCTGGTTTTGAAAGGCAATACGCCTACACAAATTAAACATGAGTTGGATTCTGCGTATGGGGACTCTGTACCATCATTTACCGCAGTGAAATTTTGGGCAGCTGAATTTAAATGTGACCGTAAGAGCTTGGGAGACGATGAACGTTCGGGACGTCCAAAAACTGCAACTACCGACGATAACATCGCCAAAGTTCACCAAATGGTGCTAGACGACCGCCGAATTAAAGTGAGAGAAATAACAAAGGTTATGAACATATCAAAAGAACGTGTTTGTCACATATTAAATCAAGAATTAGGCATGAGAAAGCTGTCCGCGCGTTGGGTGCCGCGTTTGCTCACGTTAAGGTGCGTATTCATTATCCGCACGAACGAACGAACGAACGAACGAATGTTCGCTAGTGGTATGGACGGGGACCGCACGATAGAACCGCACGAGAAGACCGCACGCATTTCTTCATTCGCGCGCCAGTTCAAATCGTCAAGATATTGTTATAAACCTGTTTTTTTGTTTATATACCGTCATTGAATTATCCTTTAAGCAAGTTACTATGGAGCAGTGCATAAGGAGTCGGGCTAGGAAGCGAGAGACCGGAGTTCGAATCTCGGCCGGAACATCACTTTTTTTTTAATACTGATGTATTCTATAGTTTATTTTTGTAGTATAAGAAAAGAACTATTTATTCTGTTATTTTTAATCTCCGTTATTAATATAAATTGAATGTTAGTACAATACCTCATTTAATATAAAATAATATTCTACTTTTTGAAATGTATCGGGCCCCTAATTGTACCTAAAAGTAATATATTTTTAGTGATATACCATATTGTAAACTATTTAATATTTCAGTCGCTTAAAAAGTTAATTTGCATTGAATAATTGCCTACCATTAAAGGAAATTTGAGCTATATAACCCTTGATGGGCATATTCTGGGTATGCAAATATTTCCCTTTAAATTTTGGGTGTGGTTCAACCGATTTATTCTAAAACCAGAAACATCTACATATAAAAAGAAGCACAGGTCACTAATTATAATAAACTTCACCCGTGGTATTACTTCCACTAATTATAATAAACTTCACCCTTGGAATTACTTCTATCACAATTACAATACGTTCATCTGCATTGGCATTTTCTAATTTTCGATGGGAAACAATAAACTTCCCAACATTTTTTAAATGATGTAACAATTCCTCTCGTTTTTTCCATAGATATCCTAATCTTTTCCATAGATATCCTCATCTCTGTCCTCATGTGAATTCAGAGGCAATAAAAATGAAAATTATTTACCATAAACATCGCAAACTAAAAACCTAATAAACAATTTTATACCGAATATAGAAATAAATTTAGTATTTTTACCTATTATCGTCCAAATCCATATTAATAGATAATTATTATTTTTAAATATATTTTTGGAACTGCTGGTTTTAGTAATTATTAAATTAAACGAACTAAAAAGTCTTAAAAATAAACAATTCTTAACCATAACCTCAAAAATGCAGATCTCCTGTCAACTTTCTTTTTTTTTATTTATTCATTATTTTCCTAGTGACGTCACAGGTGGTATGCGCGAACTGAACGAAATTGGAGCCGCTATCGATCATACCTTCGTATGATCTAGTACTCGAAGCGGATGGTCGAGCGCACGAACGAACGAACGGCCGCATGCGTTCGGTCCCCGTCTAAATATACCGCACTTTCATTCGTTCGTTCGTTCGTTCGTTCGTTCGTTCGGATAATGAATACGCACCTTTAGACCAAAAACGTGTTCGTATGAACATTTCCAACGCTATGTTAGCGCAGTTTAGGCGCAATAAATCCGAGTTTTGGCGTCGATTAATTACTGTAGATGAAACTTGGATACACCACTATACACCAGAAACAAAAATACAGTCCAAACAGTGGACGGCAAAGGGAGAATCGGCTCCAAAAAATGTTTTTTGGGATAGTCATGAAGTTATTTTAATTGATTATCTTCAAAAAGGAAAAACCATCACAGGAGCATACTACGCATCATTACTTGACAAGCTAAAAGCAGAACTTACGGAAAAACGGCCTCCTTTACAGAAAAAGAAAATCCTGTTTCACCAAGATAACGCACCGTCTCACACCTCAACGGTTGCCATGGCGAAAATCCACGAATTACGGATTGAACTGCTTGACCATCCGCCTTACTCACCAGATCTAGCCTCTAGCGACTTCTTTTTGTTCCCTCATTTAAAAATTGCGCTCGGAGGACAGAGATTTTAGTCAAATGAAGAGGCAATCACCTTCGTGAACCACTGTTTTGCAGAGAAAACGCCGAGTACTATTTGGACGGGTTACAGAGATGGGAGCATCGCTGGAAAAGTGTGTAGAGTTACAAGGGGACTATGTTGAAAAAATAAATTCGAATTCAGAAAAAATGTCTTGTATCTTTGTTAGGTCGGAAACTTTTCAGACCACCCTCGTAGATCAGGTTCTTTAGGTAGGCTTACGTGGAAAGAGTCTCCTAAAGAAACACATAGAATGAACTTTAATTCTTCGTTGACACACCCTGTACAAATAAATAGAATATTATACCTGGTGATCGAATAAAAATCTCATAGTTCATTAACTATTTAAAATACTGTACCTACCTGTCTTCAGTAACTTTTAGTGGTAAGTTTTGAGGAATATAATTGTCATTTGGAACATCCATTGGATACTGATTTTCATTATCAGCAAATGATGGTTTTGGGATCTTATTGTTATCATTTACAGAAGAGTAGTAATTATTGTAGTAGTCTTTATCAAGCAGATCTTTTGTATTTTCCTCATTTTTATCATAGTAAGAAGTTGTTTTGGTTATAAAAGGTGGTACACCTTTATTTTTTGAGTAATAATAAACATATTCTGTAAAAGAAATGATTAAAACATAATTTTAAATGTTTTTTAAAGATGTAGCTACAATTTTACCGTATTTTGAAGGATCAAAGCGTATTACTGACTTGTTATATTTTATGTTGTTATCACTGTCAACATCCCCATGTGAAAAGTGATTCTTCTCAAATTCACCATATTCTGATTCAATCGTTTCCTCATCGTTTCTGTGCGAAGTAAATAAATTTTCGATATTTCCAAAGTTCAAACTGTCCTTTCTGTCTATAGGTGTAGGGAAAGCTTTAGGTATAACTGTTTTTCGGGTAGTATACGGTATTTGTTTATGTTATATTTATTTTTCTACAAAATAAATTATAAATATTGATATTGTAATGGAAGAGTTCAAATGTGAAACTTCTAAAAATAAGTTCGCTATAGTAATACTTTTATTGACCACAAAATAAAAAATAGACATTTGTTTGAAAAACCCTCGATTTATTTATCTAGTAACGGTAATATATCCTATTTCAAAGATGACTACAGAAAATAGTATAGTAATGACAAAAAAAGCAAATATTTACGATTAGGTAAAGTTTGTTTTGTGTACAGGGTGGCGCCTCTCATACGCCGCGGAAGCTCCAAGGAGAACGGTAGTTTATATCGAAATGAAATTTTCGCAGCATATGTAGGTTAACTGAAAGCATTTTATAAAAATATATAAAATTTTACTGGGTGTTCCCAAAAAATAGGATTCTAGGAAAAAAATAAAGGTGAGTTTTTTGCTTGTGAAAATGAAGAGTAAATTTTAAATTTCGATAACAGCTACCTAAACTTTAGTTGAAATATTAGGCTATACAAGAGCCTAATATTTAATTATAGTAACCATTGTATGTTAAACCAAATTAAAATTTGACCCGAAAAGTTATACAGGGTGTATTGTATTGTATTGACTAAGACAGGGTCCCATGGGACCCTCCACTGCGGCCGCGAGGGCCTATTGTGGCTCAGTTTCTACAAGCTCTAATGTACAAGAGCGTCAAAGTTCACCCTCAAGACCTCTTAATATAGGCCGTTATGTCTGAGGGCGATATGTCTCCTAGGACTGTCATTCCAGTTTCGGAACATCGCACCCCTAACCCATTCACAGAGCCTCTCTTGCGAGATTTTTAGGAACGCTAAGTGTCGGTTCTGGGCCCGCGAATGGCGAGCCTGCACCAATTTTGGCGAGGGAATCAGCACGTTCATTTCCCTCTAGGCCGACATGTCCCGGTATCCATATTAGCGACACTTTGTTCCTATCTCCCAGTATATTGAGTAGTTTCTAACAATGAAGAATCGTCATAGAGGTGCTTTTCGTTGCCTCAAGTGCTTTCAGCGCGGCTTGACTATCCGAAAATATGCATATTGTTTTCCCGGTGTATTGCTGTTCTACCAGCAGTTGCACACAGGTTTCAATAGCATATAGCGCAGCTTGGCAAATCGTGGTGTGTTTTCCAAGACTGTGGTAGATCTCAGTCTTTGGACTGCTGCAGTAAATTCCTGTACCAGACCTTTTTCGTTTTTGGATCCGTCCGTGTACCAACACATTTCCGCATGTAGTAAACCGTTTCCCGGCTTATCCCACTCGTCCCTATTCGGAAACAGGACGTTGTAGGTGCGCGTCAAGAGTTGGACTGGTGGTGTGAGATCCGAGACCATTCCCAGAATCTCATCCGATTGTAGTTCGTCTACTAGTCGGTTTTGTATGAACATGATTGTTCCTTGGCTCTCTCGTGCCATATTTAGAAACCTATATGTAGCCCATCTCGCCTCTTTTTCCAAAAGAATTTGAAGAGGAGGTAGGTCGAGTAGGGTTTCCATAGCTTTTGACGGCGTGGAATTGAAGGCACCAGTCACCGCTAAGCATGCTTGTCGTTGTAGTTTCGACAATTTATTCTTTGCCGTCGTTTGGTTGGCTTTCTGCCACCAGGCAACTGCACCATACATGATAATAGGTCTGATGGCCGTCACGTATAGCCAGTACATATTTTTGGGGTTTAATCCCCAGTTCTACCACAAATTCGGCGGCATGCCCATAGAGCATAGCAAGCCTTTTTTGATGTTTTTTCGAGATGAGAGGTCCAGCTAAGTTTTTTGTCCAGGTTTAATCCAAGTTACTCCTTTGTTTTAAATAGAACACCCAGTATATTATTTCGGTTTTTAAAGGGGAATGTATATATCTTCAAAATATTATTAAGGTTGCCTACCCCTCAGACGAAGATTTTCCTAGATATTTTAATTTTTATGATTTTGCGTCAGTAGATCTTTATTATTTGAAATCTAGATGGTTGTGAAATACCTAATTTAACAAAAATTAAAAATTGTAGAATAAAATACTCAACGGTAATACAAAGATACACGTTTAAAATATATTTTAATTATTACAGAATTAAAACTAGATATAAATCTATGATTATGTGACAAAACTTAGTTAGATGAAATCAAATGCTCAAAATGCTTCCTTTCCTGCTAACTGCATAAAATGATTGTCTTTTCAACAGGATTTTTTCATTTTAAAAGGCATATGTGGATTCTACGTTGAAAAGCAGTTACAATAATTTCTCTCATGTTGTCGACAATAGTTGGTCAAGTTTGGTAAACACTGTCTTTAACATAACCCCATAAAAACCTAGAATAGATAAAATCAGGAACATTTAAGTATTCTATTAATTGGTGAATGCACACTGCAGTCACCAACTAATAGAATCATATCAATTCTTTCTGATGTAGGATAAGTTTGTATTTTCGGCAAATTTCTGAGAAATTTTTTGTTTTAATTGACAAAATGATAACTAGTTGTTAAAGTTGGACTAATCAGATAGCTATGTTGAAATAACGTCAGACATATCACAGCCATCCAGATTTTATCAAATAATAAAGAAGTACTCAGATCAAATCATGTAAATCAAAATATCTAGGAAAATCTTTGTTTGAGGAGTACGTAACCTTAATAGTATTTTGAAGAGCCATGACTTCTCAATTGAATATCGGAATAATATACTGGGTGTTCCATTTAAAATAAAATAGTAACAGTAACATACTTTTGAAGGTGACTATTGTTCAATATTAATTTCGTCCCACCCTGTATAACTTTTTGGATCAAGTTTTAATTTTAAACAATACTTAATTTAACTACATATTAGGTCATACCGGGTAAATTCCAATTTAGGTAGCTTTTATTGTAATTTAAAAATTGTTCTTTATTTCTAGAAAATGTTAAATATTTCAAAAACCTTACAATTTAGTCATATACTTCTCTTATAAAACTCACCCTTATTTTTTTACATAAAACACAACTTTGATATGTAACTTTTTTGGGGACACCCTGTAGAACTCTCTATATTTTCAAAAAATGCTTTGAATTAACCTACATATGCTCACAAAATTTCATTTCAATACAAACTGTCGTTCTCCTTGGAGCCTCCGCGGCGTATGAGAGGCGCCACCCTGTATGTTAGTTATCTAAATATGTATAAAAAAATATATTATACAGGGTTGTTCACCACATACGACACGGAGTATTGCAGCTAAACGATTAGATTTTTACAAATTGTAAGTTTTGGGTTCGTTGAAGGACTATTAGAGCTACAATTTAAAAATAATTTTCCAAGATACAGAGTGTCCCAAATAAGTAAAAAATATTAAAGTTGTATTTTTTTAAATGGAACACCCTGTATATTATTACATTTTTAGTTTCTACGATTAAAATAAAGGTAAATTTGATTAAGGTTTATTATACTTAAACCTTGCCGTTTTTGAAATATTTTCAATTTTGTGAAATTGCAGTAAGAATTTTAAGGCTTCATTTCTCCAAGGGTATCAAAGTTTTTAATACTAAATATTTACTGAAATTTATTTATTGATCAGTTATTGTGTTGGAACAATAAAAAATACTACCTTATACAGAGTGTCTAAAAATTTATTTTAAATATTTATTAGCTTTAAACGGCAATAACTTGTTTAATTTAAATGGAACACCCTGTATATTTTAGGAGAATCAGATGCAAAATTTAATTGTCTATCAAATTATATTATACCATTTTTTACCTATCTCTTTAAGTTTCCGTAGAAAATGCATTTTCTTGTAATTGAGAACTTATTTATCAATTTACCCATGGAATATTGACATTTTAGATTATTTTGAAAGATGTAATAAATTTTTAAAGAGTACAGATACTAATATTACCGATATAATTCGTTTATTTCATTAAAAAATAAAAAAAAAACTGTTTAAATATTTGTTAAAGAGGACCAATTAATATGATTTCAGTATTCAAACTACATTAACTGACTGCGTTGATTAATAATAATTGCTCCAAATACTAAAAAACTGATTTTTGTATGGGTATTAGACAGTGTGATAAAAAGTAACACCTTAAAAATGATATTTCATTTTTTAATAAATGCTTATTTATAATAACAGAGACTTTAATTTTGATAACTTATTATTATATTCATTTCTGACTCAAATCCACATTTATTTAGAATAATTTATTAACGAATACAATTAAGTATGTAATTAATTAGTATATGGGCGGAAATAATGGTGTTATATTTAATTAATGGTATACTCTTTTATAAAGATTTAAATACTTTTAGCATACATTATCGTTTTTAGCAAAACGAAAATATTACTAGAATGTCAATATTTGATGTCAATATTCCATGGGTATATTAATGAATGAGGTCTAAATTATACGAAAATGCACATCTACGAAAACTTGAAGGGATAGGTAAAAATGGTGTAATACAATTTGATAGACAATTAAATTGTGCATCTGATTCTCCTAAAATATACAGGGCGTTTCATTTAAATTAAACAAGTTATTGGCGTTTAAAGCTATAAACTATTTAAAATAAATTTTTAGACACTCTGTATAAGGTAGTATTATTCTTATTATTGCAACACAATAACTGATCAATAAATAAACTTCAGTAAATATTTAGTATTAAACTTTTGACCTACTGGAGAAATGAAGCCTTAAAATTTGTTTGACTGCAATTTCACAAAATTGAAATATTTCAAAAACGGTAAGTTTATGAACATATGTTAAACAGCATTTACCTTGTATTTCAATCGTAGAAACTAAAATGTAATAATACAGAGGTGTTCCATTTAAAAATACAACTTTGGCTTATTTGGGACACTTTGTGTCTTGTAAATTGCAAATTGTACCTCTAATAGTCCCTTCATCGAGCAAAAACGAGAGACTAACAAAATATAATCGTTTAGCTACAATACTCCGTGTCGGATGTTGTGAACAACCCTGTATAATAAGCAGGGTGTTCAAAATCGGCTTTCGTTTGTTAAAGCT